CGAAACATTGCACGTTCATACTGGAAATTACATTGAAAATGATTAGATCTCTTAGTAGTAAAGACGACGTCACATCGTGTAATATGACGTCACATCATGTACTGTGACATAACATCATGTACTATAATGTCTTGTAATATGACCTCAAGTTGTGTAATATTGTCATATTACACGATGTCAGTCGTGTACTGTGACGTCAAGTGGTGTATATAGCGTGATAAGTCGTGTATAGTACACGATCACTCACAATTACGTCGTGAAGTGTGCAGTCACGTTGTGTAATATGACGTTAAGTCCTGTGCTATGACGTCACATCGTGTAATATGACGTCAAGTCGTATAATTTGACGTCGTGTACTATGTTGTCAAGTCATGAACTATGACGTGAAGTCGTATAATACGTCGTTATATAGTCTACTATGACGGTACGTCATGTGCTGTGACATAAGATCATGAACTATAACGTCGTGTACTTTGACGTCATGTTCTTTGACGTCACATCGTGTACTATGAGGTCGCGTAGTGCGAGTACCTCTGGTCCAGCATCTCGGGGCTCATGTAGCGCTTGGTGCCCTGCCTGGCGCTGAGCTGGTGCTGCTGCACGTGGCGGCGCGTCACCGCCAGCCCGAAGTCTGCGATGCAGCACTCGCCGTTCACCTTCACTAATATGTTCTTGCTTTTTATATCACGGTGGGCTATCGCTGGCTTACCCTGCAATTTTATGGGGTTTTGTTTTATTACTGCGCTATTGAGTTGCAGCGTGATGGTAAACACACTAAAATCTTTAATAATAGGGAATATGCAAGTAATTTTTTCTTTCTTTAAACGATTCTACTTGTTATAAAAAAACCAGGAAAAAAATTGACGCGAAAATATTCAACCATTGTGCTAAAAAAATTATAAAATAAAATGACGACCATTTTCGAGCGCCTAAAACGTTATCGGAGTTGTCATAAGACAATTGACATCAATCGTCATATTCCATTCATAACATACGCTCAGATGTCACTTCGACGTAAAAAACAACAAAGTATTTCATTGCTTCTCAAAGTCAAAAAGTGAAAAATCGATTTATTTTTATTATTCCTGGTACAAATAAGTGGTAATTAACAATACTATTCATTATTTTTATTATTTTAAAGTTGGTTTTGATATCGTGTTTACAGAAAAATACTTCAAGAGTGTATTTCTATATAAATTAACGTAAATGAACTGTGTATTGTCAACGCAGCGACGCCATATTAGATAAGCCACTTGCTTCGACCAATAGTGTGCGTTTTAGAACTTAGCGAGAGAATTTGAAAAAAGACGCTTTTTAATGATTAAATTTTGCCACTAAATCACATTATATTTAAAAAAATCTTTGCAGGAATGTTTTTATAGTAATAAAGTATACTTACAAAAAGTTTGGTACAATTTTGCGTCATATGCATATTGCCTATTGTGCAATAAATTTCCCTGGAACGTGAATTTCGTACCTGACAGAGATTCAGATAGCTTAAAAATGACGTCAATAAGTTAACAAAATCCAATATTATACAGGTTGGATTGTTTTCAGAGAATTTACAATTTTGGGGCCCTAAAACTAAAAAATAAATAAATAAATTGTAAGTGTTACACCGCCAAGTGTTCTGATAGTACCTGTGTGCCGTGTATGTCTGTGTGCAGATGCAGCAGCCCGTTGACGATGGACAAGCAGAGCAGCATCACCTGGTGGCGGCTGAGCGCGCCGCGGTGCAGGTGCTCGTATAACGACCCCAGGGGATGGAAGTGGGTGATCAGCCATAACTGTAAATATATAGAGAATGGGATGGAATTAAAAAAAAAAAACAATTCATACGATTGTTTTAGTACATTTTTTTTAATTACTGGTTTTTAATTTTAATAATCACGTAAAAAGACCGTAAACGACAGAATATTTGATTTACATACATAAAAATTATCAATCAAATTAAAAACCTCCTTTTAGAAGTGGATTAAAAATCGCAAAGCTTTATAATAGTTACATCACATTGTAACGTAATAAAGAAAATACCCCCATCCCCCCTAAAACAAAGACTTTCACTAAATTACTCCTTTGTTCATCCCCTCAACTTTTAAAAAAGTATTTTGCTACCTAGTCCCCTTGATCATCCCTTTGAAAAATGCATTTTTACTAACTTCCCCCTTGATAATCCCCTCCACTTGAAAAAAGTATTTTTACTAATATCCCTTGAACATTTCCCCCTGAAAGTTTTACCAGCACCTCCCCCTTGAACATAGGAACCCTCTTAAAAAAAAGGGTACTTACTAAGTTCCCCTCCACCTGCCCCCCATGCCGCATACCTGTGTGCAGCTGTTCCTGCTGGTCATGTCGCTGCCGACGTACGCCAAGATGTTCTCGTGGCGCAGCAGCACCGTGCTGTACACCTCCGTCTCCCGCCGCCACGACGCCTCGTCGCGAGAGAAGAAGATCTTCACAGCCACGCTGTCTGCGCACCACGACCCTCGCCACACCTCCCCGTAGCGACCCTGAAGGTAACCCTTTGTTGATATTTCATCATCTTCCTATTTATCCTACTCCCGTAGTAGCAAGTGAGAGGTTTTTGTCCACATGACTATCATACGTCATCTGTCACCACTCCCTTCATCATCACCACCTTTCACATCATCTCTTCTAGGTCTACCTCTACCAATGTACCTACGCTCATAACCAACCATCTTACATGCGATTATTTTCCAAGTCTCGACAAAATCGGTCCACAAATTCTAAAGATAACGCCTTTTAACAGCAGATTTAAAAATAATAAGACTATAATATACCTATGTCGTTTACTCTCCAAAGTCCCGTCAAAATCGGCAAAACCCGACAGACACACATTTTTAAATTCGATTTTCGTTATTTGCAACCTAAAAACATTATCTACGTGATTCTTTTTTCAATATTACATACAGATATTGCATTTTTTTTTTAAATATGTGTATAGGTCGCAATGAGAAGAAGAAATCAATTTGAATTTAAGTCATAATTAGAACACGAGCGCCACCAAACGACTTTCGTGAGAACTTAGATTATTCTGAAAATAGGGATCGTTGCTAGAACATTGTTTGAACGATATGAGCTTGGTAGATGCATGATATCCTGACTGAGGAGTATTGTGAATGGAATCCAACTTTACCCATGGCCGCCCACAGGTGATCTTGAGTAGTAGTAATTCTGATATCGTGCTAGCTCAAGCCAGCATACATATATGGGAATGTTTGGATGGATGAATATTTCTTAGATTTTGTACCCTAAACTGCTAAACAGTTTTCAATGAAATTCGACATAGATGTTTAGAACAGTCTAGAAGAACACAGGCTACTTACTATTGCTTACTATTTTTAAATAAATTAAACCACTTTACATACCTTTCCGACACAATCAATCAATGTAACTTGTTTGGCTAATGTCCGCTGCACCATTAAAGGCAAGCCGGAGCCCGACCCACTTGTCACCGAACTCTCCAAGTATTCCCTCAACGTGGAGTCTCCAGCCGCCACTGCTTTCAGACCTCCGCCATTCTGAGACCCTTCTAGACCTAAGATAATTATAATCACTTAAGAACTTTTGAAGCACTAATATCATAATGGTTAGGGGTATGTCATCACATGGTCGTGAGTTCGAATCCAGGTATTCGAGTATAAACCTAGCAAGCCTAGAGTTTAGTTGGAATGAAACAAGAATAAATCAACAAAAATCTACTAACATTTTTATTGAAAAAAAAAAAAAACTCCTACCGAGTTTTCATATAAAAACTTCGGGTAAATATTAATATGTCTAAATTTGTCTAAAAACATATATCGTGGGTTTCGAAAATAAAACCTGCAGTTTACAAGTCAAGTGAGCTTTGAGCGACCAATTATTTATTTGAACATTGTAAAGATATACAAGTTTTTCGACCACCCTTAAAATAAATAGAATATGTTCAATCGCTATTGTGAAAAAACTGAAGAATAAAAACGAACACACCATTAATTTTACTAATATTATAAAAGCAAAAGTTTGGACAGATGTATGGATGGATGGATATTTATTAGAATCTAAACTGCTTAACAGATCCCAGTGAAATTTGGTATAGATGTAGAGGACAGTCTGCAAGATGAGATAGGCTTATAACGTTTTTTAATTCCACAAGAGCGGAGTCACGGGCGTAAACTAGTTAGGAATAAATTCTATTTACCTTCATAGCATGTACTGGTCACTAGAGGTCCATATAAATTGGTGGACAAATAACTGGAATCAGGGCCCAGTTTATGCAGAGCTGCTTGAGACACACGCAGTCTATAACAAAAATAACACGATTTCTAGACATCAGTAATTCATTTTTCTACTCTGTCTAATTAATGTTGATTAGTTTTAAAAATCACGCTTATAAAGGACCTAATATTTGCAATTTCATTATTTTCTTAGCCATTTGTATGGAGGTAAATGCCATACTTAATAGATGGGTGACAACATAATAGGCAATATGCATATGACGCCAAATTGTACCAAACTTTTTTTAAGTATACTTTATTACTATAAAAACATTCCTGCAAAGATCTTTTTAAATATAATGTGATTTAGTGGCAAAATTTAATCATTAAAAAGTGTCTTTTTTCAAATTCTCTCGCTAAGTTCTAAAACGCACACTATTGGTCGAAACAAGTGGCTTATCTAATATGGCGTCGCTGTGTTGACAATACACAGTTCATTTACGTTAGTTTATATAGAAATACACTCTTGAAGTATTTTACTGTAAACACGATATCAAAACCAACCTTAAGATAATAAAAATAATGAATAGAATTGTTAATTACCACTTATTTGTACCAGGAATAATAAAAATGAATCCGTTTTTGACTTTTTGACCTTGAGAAACTTTGTTATGTTTTAAGTCGAAGTGACATCTGAGCGTAAATTATGAATGGAATATGACGAATGACGTCAATCGTCTCATGACAACTCCGGTCGCGTTTTAGTCGCTCGAAAATGGTCGTAATTTGATTTTATTATTTTTAGCTCAATGGTTGAATATTTTCGCGTCAATTTTTTTTGTGGTTATTTTATAACAAGTAGAATCGTTTAATGAAAGAAAAAAAAATACATGCATATTCCCTATTGTAGTACAACTATGAAGTATCGATTTTCATATTGAAATTATTATTTACTTATTAATTAAAATGAAGGGCAGTTCTGGTAGTGAAATTAGTGATAGCAATAACAATATTACCGAAATCCACTCACATTATGCACAACCATATTAGTCTTATTATAAAGAGGAATTATATTTTTGTATGTATAAAAACTCAAAAACTAATGAGTTAATTTCATAAATTCTTTAACACTTAAAAGCTATGTTATCATTGAATGACATAAGCTATAGTTTTTACTAGCTTTTGCTTGCTCCGTGCGCGTTAAATTAAAAAAATAGTCTTTGTTACAAATAAATTACTTTTCTAATGGTGAAAGAATTTGTACAGTTTGCCCAGTAGTTTTTGAGTTATTTCAACAGATACATAAATACAAATCTTTATAAAAATAGTATAGATTATTTCAATTTCACACGAAAGTCACAGACAACTGTTAGTAACATATGTAAAAATTCATTTTTAGTAAACTCTACTTACCGATGACTTCTCCGCAGTAAAAATATCCCAATACCACCGATCGCACTCACAAATAACACTGACAATGTCACACTGAGCCACAACTTCCATGCATTAGACGGCACTGGTTCTATTGAAGTGTCCACTGCGGGAGGGAGGTCGGGGAAGCTGCCCGCATTACACATATCATCTTGACAGCATTTGATGTTCAACTGACCAGCGTGACGCTTCCTTAGTCTGTAAATATAAACAAATTCTATTTATTATATTATTACCCATTTAACTAATATAAAAAGGAAGAGTTTGTAATTTTGTATGTAATAACTCAAAAACTACTTCGGTGATTTCAAAAATTTTTCACCACTAAAAAGCTACATTTTCACTGAGTAACATAAGCTCCGTTTTAAATTATTTTTAATATCACCCGGACGAATTCACAAGCAACAGCTAGTTCATTATATACACAGAACTTTGGATCATAGTGATTATTTTACAAAGTAAATAACCGTGTGTTAATTTTAAGCAACAAATCTAATAACAAGCGATATTCGATTTTTGCTTCATTACCTCACTATTAGACTCTACCGAGGGTCTTGTGACCTACTCAAAGTTAGTGACTACGCTAGTCAACCAAGCTATGAGGTGATTTCACACATTTATTTGAATTTCTTTAGAGATATGCAGACATTGTGTTTTACTTCACCGTAAGAACATCCAAGATATTAAAAAAACCTTTATTAAAAAAATTTATCAGTGGTAGTGCTCGCTTTAACATCTTAGCACTGCAGGGCCGGCACGCCCCCAGTAATACCACGACCACACGGAAGACAGGCGTGAAATGGAAGCAATTCTGTGTTTCGTCTGATGAGTGTGGTGCCGGAG